GTGTTTTAATTAATCCAATGGGCCATGGTATTGTTTTCCGCAGGCAAGGGCTTATTAATTAACGGGCCATGGTATTGTTTCCCTCAGGCGAAGGCCTCACTAAAGGATGCCACCATTATAATTTCAAAAAAGACATTCATTCATAGATAACAAAAATAAGATTCAATTCAGCGTGGACCATTAAGGTCTAACATCAGAGATCCCTGTATTTCAATTAATCCAATAGCTCATGGTATTGTTTTCCCCAAGCGAGGGCCTTACTAAAGGATGCGGTGATTACAATTTTAAAAAGGACATTCATTCATAGATAACAAAATAAGATTCAAAATATCATTCTTAATCAATTCAAAATACTTTTCAAATATAGCTTTATAAAGACATTACTCACAGTGGGTTGTACCGATATTAAGCCTCGGGCATCCACCTACACAATACATATAACAAAGCACACATTGAAACACATGTTTCAAGCAAATGTTCTACTCAATCCAATCATCCTTTATGTGTTTCTAATTCATTTCCTTATTAAGAATGCCTAAACAATGTCCAAGGATATCTATAAGAGTATGACGATGAAAGCATGCATATGTGAGTGTACTTCAAAAATGCTGTAAACAAGGCAGTTCGCTTGAGCACACCTTTGGTTGCTCGAGCGGTTTGGTCTGTCTACAAAAGTACTGAATGGTCAAAAAGTAGGCTCGATGGTCTCTCGAGTCAGTTATGAAAAATGAACTGAGGTTGCTCGAGCGAACCCTTTGTCCCTCGAGCAGTCTGTAAAACTTTGCAAAACTTCTAGATGAATGCAAAATGCTCTTGAGCGAAGTGAATGAATTCTGGATTTTCTAGAATTGAATTCTAAGTTCAAAAACATGAATCTCAACTCAAAAGCGTGCATGGCTGAAGGAATTATAAGGAAACACTTAACAAAACATGGATACTTGATAATTATCAAACCATAATCCAAAATCTCTTTTCAAATTTTCCAAAACAAAGCTCAAAACTCTTCAATCTTGCTATGCATGCAATGAATTCAACTCTTTTATTTTCAAAATATGTTTATATTAGATGATATGTGTGAAATCATGAAGAACCTTCAAAGATAGTTAGTGTAACATCGTGCATGTAAAGATTTTGTTAAGAATTTAGCTTGAGAATGAGGAATTATGCATGCATGTCCCAACTAAACTCATGTTTACCAAATTCAAGGTGATTCTAGCATTTCCTTAACAAATTCATACAAATGATCCTACAAACTTCATGAATTCTATTTCTATATGAATTATCTATAAAGATTATGGTTAAAGATCATACATAGAGCTTGAATTTGGTGACAATCTAGCTTAATCCCTACAATTCTTCACAATTCACGCTCTTTACAAATTTTCAGTTCAATGTGTTGAATAAATGACTTCTTAAACATGTTTCTAACATATATATATATATATGGTTGGATTAAGTTAAGTTAATCAAATGAGATTAGGGCTAATTAATTAACCTTAATTCTATTTAATTCTAACAAAGTCTAATTTATTTGATTTAATTATTTTGATCCGAATAAATTTTAATCGAACTTGTCATATGGTTCTAAATATTCTAATTACTCTATGGAACTAGTCAATTTTTGTTTCTGATTTCGTTAAGGCTTCCAATTTCTAAATCCAAATCGGTATTCTAACAGATAATTCATAAGACAAACATATAAACACCTATTCATACAATTATACTCAATAAAATAATATGTAAAAATAATGTATGTTGAGGTCGTCACACCTTCGAGCATATTATCCATAAAAATATCTAGAACAATTTGATAATCATAACTTGTCAAATTAATCACGTTTGTTACCAAAAAATTAGATGATATATTTTTGAAAATACATTTGTGGTCTATTTTTTTAAAGACAAATGCAATAATTTGAAATATTACGATTATTGAATCGACTTAATTTTGTGCAAAAATGATATAGACTAAAAGCTCTACAAATTAAATGGTTCAAATTACTAAAATAGACGCGTGATAGATCCCATAGGCCCAAGAAAGAATCTCTAGTCCACATTTTGGACTGAATACAATCTGTTTGTTTTAGAAAATGCAATAAGAAAATGAGTGTGGAAAATATTTTATATGCCTCCATAAGAAAATGTTTTAAGAATCAGGTTGTAATAATTAAAAATAAATAAAAATAAAAAGTATATAAAGGCATGAAAATTAGATTGAGATCCTCTCCATTACATGGTTATGATGATAGATCTTTAGTAGATTATTTAAAAATTGTAAAATAATTAGAGAAATTGAACACTTTTTTAAATTTAAAAAGAATAATTACAAATACCTGGATAATGTAGTGAGATCCTCCATTACATTTTTAAAATGGAGACCATCGTAATATTTGAAAATTACTCATAGTTGGTGAAAAAAATAAAGAACATAATAGAAAAAGAAGAAAGATATATAAGTCCAATTTTTTAAACATAATGATATATAAAAGACATAATTAACTAATAATTAAAAAAGGCATAGGACATGCATAGAATTTTTTCAAAATGAAAGGAAATAGAAAGGAGGAGGATCTCCTCCCATCCAAATTTTATTGTTTGGATTCATGGGACTCACCGCAGTGCTGTTTCTCACTACAAGAAAAAGTATTATTGGTAACTAAAAAATCACATTTCGTCGCTGAAAGTATAGCATTTGGTGACTAAAAAAATTTTAGTAGCCAAAAGTACGGCCTTTTGGCGACTAAAAAAAATTTAATAGCCAAAAGTGAGGCATTCGGCGACTAGAAATCTATTTGGTCGCCAAAAGTGAGGCTTTTACCGACTAAAAAAATTTTAGTAGCCAAAAGTAAGGCCCTTTGGCGACTAAAAAAAAATTAGTAGCCAAAAGTGAAGCATTTGGTGACTGAAAACATGTTTAGTAGCTGAAAGTGAGGCTTTTTGGTGACTAAAAAAAGTTTAGTCACCAAAAGTGATAATTTTAGTGCGGGAAATTTTTTTTAAACGACTAAAAAATAATTAGTAGCCAAAAGTATAGAATTGGCGACTAAAATTATGTTTAGTCGCCAAAAGTTGTGTCCTTTTTTTTCTACTAAATAATTTATTTTTACATAAACTATGTTCAATAAAAAATAATTATGTTTATATATATACTTTGATATTAATACGGGTCTAAGTACTATATAAATAATATATGTTGCATATCTAATCATATGATGCTATGGAGGCGTAGTGGAAAGAGTACCTAAGAGTGTGTTGTATAAGGTTTATAGTGTAGGAGGTTGATGGTTCAAATCCCCACAAGAGCATGGTGTAATTTATTTTTTTTTCTCCGAAATGAGCTTTTGGCGACTAAATCTATTTGGTCGCCGATTCCTTGAGTATTGGCGACGAAACATTAGTTGGTAAATGTATAATTTAAAAAAATATAATTGACTATTTTAGTCATCAAATGTATAATTTAAAAAATATAATTGACTATCGGCGACCAAAGTTTTGGTCGATAAAGACTTGCTTTTTGGCGACTAAACGTTTTTTAGTCGCCAATACCTTTCCCGACCGTTTTCCAACGACCAAACCGGCGACTAAAAAATTTAGTCAGGGAAACTTAAATACCGACTTTTGGTGACTAAAAATTTAGTTGTCAAATGTGTTTTTTCTTGTAGTGTTTATAATACGAATCATTCATTTTGTCAGACACTATGAGTATTTCATTTACAAAAAAAATTAAGTCAATTTAAATAATTGTAACTTATTTAATTTTTCACTAAAAAAATAAAAAATAATTGTGTTTTTAAAAGTAAACTATAAATTTTTTTAGTGACCAACGTAATAAATTAAATAAGTTATAAGTATTAGATCGACTTAATATTTTGTATGAATAAAATACACGAAATATTTGACAAAATAAACTATTCATATTATCATAATAAGGCCCATAGGGAACTCCATATACCCAAACAAAACCCTCCAATCTAAAATCCAATCTAAAATCTGAATTAATAGATATGCATATGATAGAGTGAAAAACGAGTCAAATTTGAAATCTTTGAAACAATAAAAAAAAAAAAAAAAAAAACCCCTCGGGGACAAAAGAAAACATCCAGACAGCCAACGAAAAAGCTGACGCTGATGGGTGGTACTGTACATCAGGCTGATAGAAACATATTCCTATTTGAATAATGACTTCGACTCCTTTTTTACTGATTCCCTCTTTCATCATTGGTTTTTTTTTTTTTTTTTTTTTTTTTTTAATCACCACCCGCCACGTGTATATGGAGTGATGAAGATGGTGATTGGAGGGGGTCTCAATCATCACCCTTCCTATTTTGAAGTCTTGCTTTACAAGTCACTTTTTTAGTTTAAAAGTAAAAAGTTATTTAAAAAAATATAAAAGTCAATAATTTATATTAAAAAGTTTTAAAAAAAAAAATCTATTTATATTTTATACATTATTTTTATAAAAATCAAAAAATTATTCTAAATATATTAATTTTTTTTATTTCTTATTACAGCTAAAAAACCAAAACATTATTAAAAGAGTAATGTTAGGGATGATCAAAAATATATCATGAAATATATCATAAAGATTTTTCATCCCTTGATTAGTCTTGATTAGTGTATGGTGTTTTATTGTATGAATAATCTAAAGGTTAAAAATCTTTCATAATAATATTCATGATATATTTTTCATAATCCCTAACATTACTCTTATTAAAATAGACTGTTCCAAACCAGGCCTCGTTCCCTTTCAGCTTCTCAATTGGTGATCAAATGTCCCACGTGAAAATGTTTTTGAAAGCTCCACTGCAAACAGTTTTTGGTAACGCTTTATCATATTGATTGTTTACCTACTTCGTACATTATTTCTCCCTACTCATCTATCTCTCCCTCTCTCTCTCTCTCTCTCTCTCTCTATATATATATATATATATATGTATATATATCTCTAGAAAAATAGTGAGTGTAGTGCAGTGCAGTGCCTAGCAATAACAAGGAGAACCATGGCTGAGATTATCTCTTCCTCTTCGTCACCATTACTCTTGTTTGAAGGGGCCACACCAACTATTCAACAACGCCTCCAATTCATCATGCAAAGTCGAAGTGAGTGGTGGGTCTACGCCATCTTTTGGCAAGCATCAGAAGACAACAATGACCGCATTCTTCTTTCTTGGTGTGATGGCCATTTCCGAGGCCATGACCAACTCAAACTCGGGTTTGACATGAAGAGAAAGAAGGTGGCCAGAGGAATTCAATCACTTGTCAATGGTGGCGATGCCACAGACCCCGAGTGGTTTTACATGGTGTCTGTGACAAAGTCATTTGCCCATGGAGATGACATTGTTGGCCAAAGTTTTAGTTCTGGTGCTTATGTGTGGCTAACCGGTGATCATGAGATGCAGTTTTACGACTGTGAAAGGGCAAAAGAAGCTCATGGGCATGGGATTCAAACTATGGTCTGTATTTCAATTTCAAATGGTGTTATTGAACTGGGTTCCTCAGAAATAATCGAAGAAGATCGGGGTTTACTCCAACTAACCAAGTCTCTTTTTGGTTCTGACTCTGAGGATATCACCATGGTATCAAAACAGCCTGGTGGCCATGTGGGTGAGATTCTGTTTCCCCCGAACCGGAATCTTTCCCTCCTAGACTTTGGTGTTCCAAAAGAGAGTTATGAAGAGAGAAATAAGAAAGAAATGACGATAGTAACAGGCCAGTCATCATCTGAATCAGGGGCTTCTGATCTTCAAGGCACTTTTTACTCAAATTCAACATTGATGAACATTCGTTCTGAAAAAAGAGAAAGGAAGACAATGATAAGCTTAGAAACACCACCCGTAAACCATGTTCAGGCAGAGAGGCAGCGAAGAGAGAGGCTGAACAATCGGTTCTACGCACTACGAAGTGTGGTGCCCAATGTATCGAGGATGGACAAAGCGTCTTTACTTGCAGATGCAGTTTCATATATCAAAGAGCTTAAAGCGAAGGTAGAAGAATTGGAGGTAAAACACCGAGTGGAATCCCAATCCCACAAGGCAAAGGTATGTATTACGGACCTATATAACAACCACCAAAGCACGTTTTCGTCATCACCGTTGTGTAGCTATGGGATTGCTAATATAGCGGATGCGGAAGTGGAGGTGAAGATGCTAGGAACAGAAGCGATGATTCAAGTGCGCTGTGTGGACGTGAATTACCCTTGTGCAAGGTTGATGGATACATTGAGAGGCCTGGACTTTGGAGTTATTCATGCCAGTGCTTCCAAAGTGAAGGAGCTGATTCTTCAAGATGTTGTGGTTACTGTTCCTAATGGAACAGCAAGTGTGGAGTCCTTGAGAACTGCTATTCTTAGCAGGTTTCAGATTTAAGTTTCAGTTTATGTCGTTATATTACGACAAAATCATAAATAAGTATATGTTATTTAATCACACGTTAAAATGTAATATTTAACAGTATGATTAAAAATGATCATTTTTAGTCACACATTTTAAGTATCATTAAAAATAATTCCATCACACGTTATTTTACGTGTGATAATAAATATTTAAATCACACTTTTTAAGTGTGATGTATAACTAATAAAACATGTGATTAATAATGAGATAAGATCACACGTTATATGTATTTCTCATTACAATTAATTGGTGTGATAAAAAAAATGGTTCGACATATTTAAAGAATAATCAAATATTATTTTTGTACGGATTTGAAGAATGTAATACACAATATATGTACTATCTTTTGAATCACAATCACATATTGAATGGAATAATGTCATATATTTTATAAATGAAAGCTGAATATTCAAAAGTATATACAAAGGAATTAATAAAAAAAAATGTAACTGTAATTACATATATTTAAAAAAAATGAAAAAGAAAACTTGAAACACAATGTTCTTGAATTCTTTGACCATATTTTCCATCTCTCTAAGTAATTTCTGACCTGAAAAATGAAAACACATAAATTAAGCGGCAAAATTTGCATCTTCTTTAGAAATTATGAATGCATTTAAACCAATAAAACAAAATAAAACAAAACAAAGAAAATCCATGGGTATCAAATCATTCATCTTATAGTGCCCTTGGGTCAATATCCACTTATCCACATGTAGGAAAAAAAAATCTCCCCCATGCGGGAACAAATTTGGTAGTCTTGTCGAAACATATGGGCATGACAAATATGATAAAAAAATTTCTTATTTTTTGATGACATGACAAATCTCGTAGTCCATGGCGAAACTCATATTACACCTAGTCTTATATTCCTAAACATGTATCAGTGTCCACATTAAGAAAAGCATAACAATATAAAGAATAACAAACTGAGTGAATATTAAATTAAATTCTTATGGAAGCATGGTTGATAGTATGTATATTGTTTTGTGTCCTATATATGGCATGTTATGTAGTTTGATAGGATAACAAACTGAGTAAATATTTATATACAAATTAAACAACATAGAAATTAAAACTCTATCTCTCTATTTCTTTCTCTAAAAAACAAGTCATCTTGCCAAATGGTTCAACAATTTTCATCAATTTTCGCCAAATGGTTTAGAAATTAGAAACTAACTTCTCTATATCTCATAATGGTTCATCAATTTTTATGTCTCTCTAACCCATTTTCATCTATAAATTATGACCTACTTCAATTTAAAATATCAAATTTAATAACTAATAATTTGAATCCGAATACATAAAGATATCCACTTAAACTAACCTAGAACAATGAAACTCTCAGCAACCAATAAGAGAATTCTAAGAAAATACAAAGACTTCTGCTAATGAGAGTAATTAAAACTTGAACAATATGATACTACAAATTCAAACCAATTAAGTCATGAATTTCAAAATCAATTAACTAAAAAATTAACTCATGCATTCTATAATTCTGTAAAGAGTCTATCGTTGAAATAGAAAAATGAAATGTGGTTTAGATTTAACTAAGATAAAATGAAAAAAAAAAAAAAAAGAAGAAGAAAAGCATATAATATAGTTGATTTCTTAAATCATTCTTTCTTGCTCCCCCAACCCCACCTACCCCAATTTGATTTTAAAACCCAAATAATGATAATTGTAAGAAAAAAAATAAAAAACTGTACCTATAAATTCATTTGAGTTTTCAACTCAATGGGAAGCATGATAGATGATAATTTCTTAAATTTGTATAGTCAAGTTAGATAATCAATCAAAAAAATAATCACAGAATAACAATGATCAATCATTGCTTTAGTAAGAATACAAATCAAATACTTACCACAATGTTTGGATACGAAAGGTCCTAAGGAAGTCGTCAAGCTGCCTAATGTGAGCCTATTAAGCAAACACATGCTTTAGACACAATGTTTCAAGCACAAACTGTAAAAATTAATAATATAAACATCAATAAAATAATTAAATTGGACAAATCTGTTGTCAATATTCTTGAGTAACAAATCTGTTGGAAATTAAAGATTATTGAAACATTATTGAAACAAAAGATATCCAAAAAAATTAGAGTAACAAATTTGCTAAAAATATAATTGTTGGACCCAAATGAAGACACCTCCATCCATGATGGGTTAAAGATAAAAATACAAATACTCAAGAAAAATTAAAGCCCAGGTTCCCTTTTTTCCCTTTGTTTAGCTACTCTTAGAAGACAGCAAATAAGATGGGTTTGCTCACATGAACAGTCTTTTTACCAGATTCTTCTTTTGTTGAGCTACAGACACATGATAAACCATTCCAAACACTTCAATTCCTCTCGATTTAAGCTTCTCCGCTGCCTCATCTATATTTTTCTACAGAACAATCAAAACCTAGCACACAAAATGAACTCACCTCAAAATCAAAGTATAAAAAAGATATCGGGAAATTGATGTTTTAAGAACTTATGTATTGTACCATATGTAATCTACCAAAAGAATGTAGAATCTGCAGTAAGCTTTTTAAAATTTCTAGATCTCTTAAATTTATTTAACCTCATTTAGCTTCCAAGAGAATTGATGGGAAAAAAAAAAAGATCAAGGCAAAACTACACCTTAACTTCATGAATAAACACCACATTCAGTGATCTCAAAACCTCAATTTGTTTTTATTCGTTCTCGCATTTTCTCAATAACCCGTTTCAATTTTCTTAGAAAAAAAACAAAATCTAAAATTCAGCTCCTCTTTCTTTTTTTCAAATCCAGCCTATACAAGAACTACTATTACTTTGAAAGCATACGAACCACAATTCAAACCTTTGATTTATTTTATCTTCCAACATTTTCGCAACAACCAAACAGAGTATATCAATATATATACATATATATATATATATATAGAGAGAGAGAGAGAGAGAGAGAGAGAAAGGAAGGGAGGAATTGGAACCTCAACGCCTTCAGAAGCAGCGATAGAAGTATAGGAATGAGAGGCAGACTTGAAGATGAAGCCAAGAAAAATCAAGACAGAAAGAGCGAAACATAAGAGAGCCATTAGAAGAAGTAAGATGAAGAAGCAGTCCTGCTGATAAAATGGAAGATTGAATTGTGAAGGACGTGAATGTTTATTAACAAAAAAGGAGTAATGTTGTTCTACTTCTGGCCTCCTAGCAGCAGGTGTGCTCTGGGCTGGCTTTGGGTTGTGGGCTGGTTTGGTCTACCTCTGGTATGTTCTGCTCAACAGTGCTGCTCTGTCATAGGATGTTGGCTACTGCGGAGGAGTTAGTTTGTTCTTTTTGGACTGCTGGGCATGTTGGTTCTGTTCTGCTGCTAGGTTGTAGGCTGACTGGTCTGCTGTAGTGCCCAAAAAAAAAAAAAAAAACTGCTTTAGTGGGCAAGTCCTCTTGGTGTTTGAATTGGTTTTGTTGGATTTTGGTTTTGTTGTCTCATGATGTCCTTCTTTCTTCCGAGTTTGGTTCCTCACCAATCTCTTGGGATTGAGCTTGCAGATGATTGGGCTACCTTCTCGGTGCCAACCTAGTTGGGATTGGATTTTTTCGCTTTGATGCTTGATGCTCCCCCTCTCTCTTTTTTGATGTAAACTCATATCTTGTATGATTTTCCATCAATAAAGGTTCTTTTTGCTGATAAAAAAAAACAATGCGGTTTGTTTGGGTAAATTACACTTTGCTCTTTTTACCTCAAAACTCATTTTGTGCTCTATAGAAAGTACACAGTAGTTATGAAGAAGAGAAAATAGTGAGGTAAGGGTGGCAATGGGGGCAACGGGGTGAATATTAATTCCCCATCCCATTTCCCTAAAACAGAAAACATATTACAAATCCAAAAGAGATCAAACAAACTAAGAACAACAAACAAACAAACACAGTCAATCAGAGCAACAAAGAATCAAAAAAAGTGAACAAGACCAAAAAACAAAGAAATTGGACTGACGAAATCGTGGGCAAGTCCTCTTGGTGTTTGACTTGGTTTTGTTGGATTTTGGTTTTGTTGTCTCATGATGTCCTTCTTTCTTCCGAGTTTGGTTCCTCACCAATCTCTTGGGGTTGAGTTTGCAGATGATTGGGCTACCTTCTCGGTGCCAACCTAGTTGGGATTGGGTTTTGTCGCTTTGATGCTTGATGCTCCCCCTCTCTCTTTTTTGATGTAAACTCATATCTTGTATGATTTTCCATCAATAAAGGTTCTTTTTGCTGATAAAAAAAAACAATGCGGTTTGTTTGGGTAAATTACACTTTGCTCTTTTTACCTCAAAACTCATTTTGTGCTCTATAGAAAGTACACAGTAGTTATGAAGAAGAGAAAATAGTGAGGTAAGGGTGGCAATGGGGGCAACGGGGTGAATATTAATTCCCCATCCCATTTCCCTAAAACAGAAAACATATTACAAATCCAAAAGAGATCAAACAAACTAAGAACAACAAACAAACAAACACAGTCAATCAGAGCAACAAAGAATCAAAAAAAGTGAACAAGACCAAAAAACAAAGAAATTGGACTGACGAAATCACCAAGAGAAAATCACATCTCACAATCACATAATAGAAAAATAAATCAAAACAACAAAGAACATTGAAGAAGCAAATAAAGAATTGAAACTGGTGCGAATTAAACGAGACCCTGGAACAGAGAAATCGAAACTGTTATATACATTACAGAACTTCTCCATTATGTACATTCCGCACTAAATATTTGAACGAGAGAGAGAGAGAGAGAGAGAATCACCATGCCAGAGAACCATTATGGTACAGCTTCGACAAAAATCGTCGTGGCTAAAATTATCACTGCTGCTGGAAGAGTGAGATGAAAACCTTACCTGTGAGTGAGGGTTTGTGAGAGAGAGAGAGAGAGAGAGACAGAGACAGATGTGAATAAGAACAAATTAGGTAGGGTTTTGTTTCAAAAAAGAAAAGGCAAAGCAAATTAATTGGAGAAGAGACC